TAAACAGGCGTCATCCTTCGGATGAGACGTAAAACCGAGATCCTGACTCTCTGTGGTCATTAAAAATCCCAGGGCGTTTCTCGAAAAGAGTAGGGGTGTAACCCTGGCGTCCTGGCCAAATTTCCCATTGGCTCTTACCAATCATGGCCTCCTAATAATCCCCATCTATGAAAAGGCTTCATTACTCTGCTCTCCTCCCCACTGATAGCTGATGTGTGGTGAGCATTCTGGCGCACAGTGGCTGCTGTCGCATCATCCAGGTGGATGCTGTGGAGGGGAGTCCCCATTACCTGTAAAGTGCTTTGAGTGGAGTGTCCAGAAAAGCGCTATATAAGTGTAAACAATTATTAATCAACTTGCCATTATGTCTTTGGTCTGCTTCTCACAATTCATTGAGTAGAAACATGCCTCCCATTCTCAGTTTTATATGCCCTTTCAGGTAGTTTCCACTTGTTTCCTTAGGTTTGTGTTTCTCTTCTAACTCTTAAGAAATCCAGTGCCTCTGAGAATGTTAAATACTGTACTTAAATTTATCTTTAATCTTGAAACTTGAATTTCCTCCATTTCCTTCTGTATTCAAGATGAAAAGCACTGAGTTCTTTTAGTCTGGCGATGCACTGTAGCATATTCCTTGGGCAGAAAATGATGTATAGATACTGTAGATACTTTATTGTCCACTGCTGTGGAAACTTATCTTTGGTTCTCCAACAGACATACACAAAACCCATACACAAACATACACAAACATAAGAGTCACATAAAATCGCACTAAATCACAACAACAGTATGTGAAACACAAATAAATGGGTAGAGTGTGGAATGCATTTACATCCCTTTGTTTAGCTTTATTGCAGAGGGTCCAAAGGACTTCTTATAGATGTTATTATCTGGTGCTTGCTTTTCTCTGGACTGATGTCAGCAAACCAATATGTTTTGTAGTGTGATTGAACTTGTACACTACGCTTTAAATGGAGTTTCACTGATGCTTTGAACATTTTTACATAACATCCCATGCTTTAAATTCTAAATTTCTAACAGTTGTAACCTCACGTTTTTCTTTGTTATTGCTTTCTGTCATTGTCTATGAGATGAAAATGTACATCAACATAAACACCTAAGTCTTTTTCCTAAGTAGTTTTTTCATTCTCAATGTTGTTCATTTTCTTTTTATGGCTTCAACACTGTTTGCTAATTCTATTTTGGATTAATTGGCGAATTTCACTACTTAACACACTATAGCAGGGTCTTGGTTATTGATATATTGTATAGAGCAGTTGTCCTAAAGCTTATCTCTGTGGTATTCACTAATTACATCACCCCAGATGCTGTATTCTCACTTTATCTGTACTCTCTTTTATATACCATCCATTTCTCAATCCAAACACATATATTTCCTTGAATGTCTGCCGCTTTTAATTTGTGAATCTTTTATGAGGACCTTTATCCAAAGCCTTCGAAAAATCTACTCATACAATATCATACGTGCTGTGTACATCCTTTACCGATGTTGGTTATTCACATAGCAACACCTTTTCCAAAAATATACTGACTGTCCCATAGGATCCTATTTTCATACATGTTCCAAAACTCATTTCCATGAATTTACATGAAATAAAAGTAAGACATAGAGGTGTAACTGTCTGGTCCAGTGTTAATGAATGGGAACTGCATTAGGCAACCTCTCAGTCCATGGGTCTTACCACTGCCTTGAATGACTGTTGGAACAGACAACATATTTTTTTTTCCAGATGTATGATGGGTACAATACCAACGCTCGGGATATGAGCATTTTAAGTGCTTTTAGTAGTTGCAACACTAAGGTGGGGGTGGTGGGGTGGCTAAGGATCTGCACCTGTGGCTGGAAGGTTGCAGGTTTGTATCCCGTGGCTGGCAGAGGAATCCTACTCTGTTGGGCCCCTGATCAAAGGCCCTTAACCCCAGCAGCTCCAGGGGCCCCGTATAAATGGCTGACCCTGCGCTCTGACCCCAAGCTTCTCTCCCTGTCTGTGTGTCTCATGGAGAAAAAGTTACGTGAAAAGACAAATTCCTAATACAAGAAGTTGTATATGGCCAATAAAGTGATCTTATCTTATCTTATCTTATCGCCAGCCAGCAGCCATGTCACCCTGCAACTCACAACTGGCAACCCACTGAAGCTCAGCAGGTG